TCATAGTTGCACGACTGCCCTTCTTCATATTATCGATAATATTGTAAGGTCCATAGATAACGGAAAATGTACTGTGCTGGTGTTGCTGGATTTTAGTCGCGCTTTTGATACCTTAAATTATGATTTATTGACAGCAATATTGCACTACAAAGGTCTCTCAAAAGGTGCTATCCCCTTATTAAAATCTTTCCTAACTAATCGGTCACGAATGGTTATGATTGATGATGAATCATTCTATTGTTTAGAACTAAAGAGTGGAGTTCCTCAAGGGTCTATTTTAGGTCCTTTGCTTTTTGCTGTTTATACGTTTAGTCTCATTAAAACTCTTCAAAACTGTAACATCCACGTTTATGCCGATGACCCCCAGCTCTGTTACAGTTTTGACCCCAAGCTAGTGGTAAATGCACGTACTGTTATAAATAGGGATCTAAATAATTTTATTAAAGCGGCATCCAATCACTGTTTAAATATTAATTGTGATAAATCTAATGTTTTATTGTTTAGTAATAAAATAAAGGTGGATGAAATACGTGATGGCATAAATATATCTATTGAGGACGAACGTATTCATCTACATGAGGCTAAAAGTTTAGGTGTCATTTTTGATTATGGTTTAAAATTTGAAAAATATATAAATCAATTGTTAAAACTACTAAGTATATGGAAGACACTTTTTGCCATTATAAGTAAAATCTACATTATGTGAAACATTGATCTTGTCTATTTTTAATTACGATATTCTTTATGGCCCATTTTTAACAGTACAATACAAAAACAACATCCAGAACGTGCAAAATTCTTGTTTGCGTCTGAAATATGGTATTCGTAAGGGGGACCCATAAACTAAAAGATAATAACTGATTAGTAGATATGTCTAAAAGGAGGATTTTGCATGCGGCAATTTTATTTCATAAAATTATTGTTAGCAGAACTCTGTAATATCTTCATAGAAACGCATAAATGTGAGGCAAAAAGGCATCCTCTCTCCCCCATCTTTTAAGTTAGAAATTTTTAGACGAGCCTATACCTATCAAATATGCTTAATTTATAATGACATTACTTCACATTTCAAAAGATATTATTTTCAAAAATTTAGGACATCCTATAGGCACCTGTTATTTGATGATCATTATGTTGATATCTAATAAGCAATGATAAGGTTACAATTTCATAAATGTATGTATAAACTATGTCGTAGCAATGATTTTCTTTAGGATAATTCCTATTCCTATTAATTGTTTTTTTCTTTTCCTATTATATTCCTTCTCCATTATTATACCTAGTAGAAGTTGTCGAAATTATCCAGGAATTAGATTTTTCAATTCTTTGTGATTTTGGATTATCATTGTGTATTTGGATGTATTGGCAATTATCTTGATTTAGGGAAAAACTACTAAAGTGTATTTCACATGGTTCATTTGTAGTTCTTTCTGGCACAGGATGGTAAGTGCATAAAAATTTATTCATTTCTATTTCCGTACACGTGTGTACGGAGTAATTTGAGTTCATGATTATATAATTTTTATTTGGAATGATCTGTACAATAAAGCATTGTTCATCGCTGGTAAAGGGTATAACTTATAGTAGTTGTATGGGTTCATTTCTGTTAAAGACACTGTTATGATAAAGTAGATATTAAAGTCCTTTTGGAATACAGATGTTTTACACAATTTCTCGTATTTTAAGATGTTCTCTAGACTTGGTCCAAATGGAAGTTTTTCATCTTTTATTAAATATTTATGTATTTTTTCTAATTCTTCTTATAAATGATTTGGTCTGATAATTGGATGGCGAATTTGTCTCATTTGAGCAAATGAAATTGCTGTCAGAATTTCTTCCGATGTTGTTAATGAACGACAAGGAATGAGAAAGTTCAGTCAAAACTGTTTGGATCGCAAATATATGTATGCAAAAACCCATATTTTTAATATTTTTTCAAAGGTAAATTTTGTCAGTTCAAATAAATTTTCATACTTAGTAAGAGTTTAGATAAATAAAAATGCTGCTAATTGAATGAATAGTATGTGATTGTTTCATGCGAAAATTTTTAATTATCTGCTTTTTGACAGTCCATGAAAAAACTGAGCTGTCAAAATTTCTTTAAAAATCTTACTTAGATGTTTCGATTTCAAAGAACTCTTTGTAAATGTGGGATTACTTGATATTTGACGAAAACAAACAAGTAACCACAAAAATAAATTTGAAAATTCCAAAATTCAGTATGGTGCCCATAAGAAAAACAGAAATCGCGTGTTTTTCTCGGTCCTAACAGGTACCAGGACTAAAAAGAAAACGAAAATAAAAATTTTCAGTGTTTTATTGATAACTTCAAAATGAAAAATTATAGATCAAATTTGTTTTCGGCAAGTTATTCGTCACCAAATACCGTATCTCTGTTCTAACTTAACTCACCTTGTACCTCTTAAAGCAACCGAGATACCAATGATACAACTTGAAAAATGCCCACTTCGAATATCTATATCTTTTCTAGACGTTTTCTAGTTCATGATTTCATTATTCTTTTAAATATCTACTTTAAATTTTAGACAAATTGACTTTAATATTTTGTTTTGAAAAAAAAGACAATACAAAAGATTAATGGTAGTACATATCTAATAAAAATCTATATTTAGTTATAAAATATTTTATTACCGTATTTGATATTTGTCCGTCCATTCCCTTGACAAAAGAGACAACAAATGTAGGGTAGAATGTGGTAGTAAACAATGGTAATATTGTTTTTATGTGGCTACAGTAAAAATAAAAAATATCACTAGGTTGTAGACAGGTCATGGTGGGAAAACTAGTAAACTGTGATGAAAATATTGCATCATTGAAGCTATTTTTAAAATAGGTAGAAGTCTGCAAATATATTTTCTTTTTTTTCTAAATATTTTATGGAATGTATGAAATACTATAAATAAAATCTGTCTGATTTGTTCAATACATATTTAATAATCGTTTGTTTTGTTTACGGGCAAATGTGTTTGTTTTTGTATCTGGCATTTGTTTAAAAACATTTTAGAATTGAACTAAGTAGAAGCACCAAACGGTAAACGTGCCTAATGACAACAACCTTTGTTGAGAGATTCCTGATCCGCCATTAATTTTTCAAAGCTCCAGTACGAACAATCATCCAAAAGGGAGAACTAATGAATTACGTACTCGGAACAATTTTACGGACATGTCATAATTGTAAAGTTCTGTCTTCTTCCATCTGTTCTTCGCCAAATAGAGATAAATGTGGAAACCGCGCTCCGCAGCTATTATATTTAATGGCATTTTCGCACCCCTGTTTTGTTTTTCCAGTTAAACCAAATGAGATTGTTTTCTTTTCAAATGCATCTTGTGATGTGACGTAAATTTTCTATATAAAGCATTCTCTTTATCGGATTTTTTATTGAATCGAATATCTTGAAAATAGAAAACTAGACTGTAACAGCATGTTTTTACAGCAAATTATTTGTCTCTAAAAGTAAAGGTCTAGAACCTGTCCAGTCAAAGATTTCGCTAGAAACTGATCGGATTTGGAATTAAGTGTAATTTCTTGATAAATCAGTATAACATTTGAAACAGCTTTTCCCATTTGGTGGACTTGACACGCTATATTTTAAAATTTTATTGAATTTGTACACAAATAGGTAAAATTCGGTTATTCAATAAAATTATAAAACGTCTGAATGGACATCGATATTTGGAGAGTTTGCAAAATAATTTGCAATTTAGACGATGTTTCATTAGACATCCGAAGAAACGTTTAGTTCATGCACGATGGAGCACCTCCCCATTTCAATATTGATGTATGAAATTATTTATCCATTGTGTTTAATAATAAATGGATTGGGAGAGGAGGCTCAATTTCATGACCATCACATTCTCCAGACTTTAACCCGACGGACTTCTTCCTGTGGAAATACCTGAAAAGTTTAGTGTACGCAACAAGGGATGAATTGCTACAAAGAATTAATTTCCATTGTGATATTAGACACGCCCCAGAAATGCTTTTTCGTGTACAAACAAATAACATTGGACTTAGGAAGTGTGTGGAGGCGGAAGACGCCCATATTGAAAATATATTTTCATAGTTTCCTTTCTTCTAAATTATTTTTTTAACTTACTTTAAATTATTCTTCTTTTGTTCTTCTATTGTGTGTTATGCGTAAAGTAAGTTTGTTAAATTTTGTTAGTGAAAATTACATTTGGAGACAGTAAGATTTTCTAGGCTCTCAATATAAAAATAGTACGGTTTTAACATAGTAATTATGTCCAATTAAGAATTAAAAACAATAAATGGTGAAGGTGCCGCTCCATGGCGCTGTGACATAAAATCCAAAATATTTCGTAAACTATTAATTTTACCGAGTTGAACCAAGAGGTTATTATCATTGGCAGATTCTTCAGGGAACTTATTTTTGATACAGGCAGATTGAGATCGTCATCTGTGTTATTCTGGATTATTAACCACTGGGCGTAGTCCGTCCCTGGCGTTCTGGGCATAATGAAGTTTCACTTACAACATAAACAACGAGATGTACGCATGTGTTATCGATCGCCAAATTTGCATCATGTTGAAATTAATAGTTTAGAGACTAAATAAAAATAACGTTTTAATTTTTACATTTGAAGGCCTATAACTTGTTAACGAAGGCCCGTATGAAAAAAATTTATATGAAGAACTAATATTGTTGTGACCTTATCTATTTGTCCTCGACTTTTTTGTATCAAGTATCGGGACACCGTGTATAACCAAATAATTTGGTTAATAGAATCAAAAATTATTTGACTATACCAAGTAGCTTTTTGTGTGTGGCAAGTAAGACCACTGTTACATAAAAAGTGTACCCGACGCCATATATCCCCTAACCTAGTAGAGCAATTACGTTTGAGGCGGTACGACAGCCAGCCGCCTCCGGGGGCTGCCGCGGCTTGTTGCGGTTTTGTTTGTTTTCGATGTCGAACAGTCTTGTAGCGGTGGATCCCTAATGTATGCTAATTTACAGTGCGAGCCCGGCCTGGGAGCCAGCGTCATGTATAATCTCCTCTACAACGAGCCGACGAAGCTGATGCTGCTAGCAGGATGTAGTACGGTGTGCACCACGGTGGCGGAGGCAGCCAAGATGTGGAACCTTGTTGTGGTGAGTGCTTAACTATATCGCTTATACATTCAATTAATCTGAGGGCACGGAATCTCCCGTGAGTGTAGCTCGTAGCCGTACTTCACGGCGTGCACGTGTTGTACTTACGACGGGACGGAACTTGTAAGCAAATTTGGTTTGCTATTAGATTTATGTTTTAGCCAATCTCGTAACCGTAAAGGATTCAGGTCGGCTGTTATCCTATTAAAAATGTTGTCCATGTTTTATTTCATACACTGTCATTAATTTTAACATGTATGTGCGTTATGTGCTAGTTGAGAGAGCAGGAACCACTTACTTTGTCTTTCAAAGAGTCGGCGGGACAGTTGTGTTTGTGTCTTCGGCGTTCTTGCGGTTTTTTCTTCAATCAGTTTCACTTTTCGACTAATTTTGGGTGCACAGACTTGTCTGCCTCTTTTCATAATAATCTTCTTACGCAGACAGGTGCTCTTAGCGTCCTCTACCTCATTATTTTTAAACCAATAATGAAAAAATGCTAAACATACACATTATGTCAAATTAATTTTCTTTGACACTTTACTGCCACAGAGGCTCACGAATTGATAAGAATGCAGGTGGTGTACCACCTCATATAAATATATATACTTGTTTTAACCTGACAATTTTGTACGAAAAAGTTTTCGATGAAATTTATATCAAGTAGCGATACAAGCAGGTGTTTTCAAGTAGCGATACAAGTAGCAGGTGTTTTCAAGTAGCGGTGTTTTCAAGTAGCGATACAAGCAGGTGTTTAATTGTTTTTCTTATAATTTTCATATTTAATAAAGTTACAGTACAATGAATTTGATAAATGGAATGTTAATATCAAATTAAAATTTACATACAAATTAATTTTGTAAAAAATAAAAAACACCTGACTCTATTAGTTGATTATGAAAAACATATTTTGCAAATATACAGGCTGTTTACTACAAGAGATCCACTCCTATGTACCTCGCTTAATACACAATGCATATCAAAATTCCTTATATGTTTTTGTTGCATACTGCGTGTCGCCCTTATCTTTTATATTTATTACATTTTTTATAATTTTGGTATTAAAAATGTAGTTTAATGTAGAAATTGTTTTAAACATGCCAACTACAAAAAATTTAATGAATATAATGTACTTCTTTTAAGCAAAGAATCTGCAATAGCTGGCACCCATCAGTTTACCATCATAGAAGTAAGGTCCTATGCTTTTGGTATCAAGAATTGTAATCCAAACGTTTACTGAAAACCTCTGCTGAAATGCAGTTTCTCCATGACAATGTAAATTACCATTAGTCCATTTGAAGTAAATTTTTCTAGTAAAAAATCCATTGTTACATAAATTAGACAGATCTGACCAGAGAATTCTTCTGCATATAAAAGGATTTTCCCTCTTTCTTTCTTGTCACAACCTACAGAACCCTAATCTCCTCGATTTATCTTCCTCTCTCAAGAGATGCACTTTTTTCACCTTATAACATTTGAAACCATTATTATATATAATCCTTCTTACACTGTGTGTTACATTGTAGTTTACTTCAATCTCTCACTGTTTTGCTCATTTTTCCTATTTGCATAATTATATTAACATTACCTATTTTATTAACAAAACTGCTTATTCTATTGCCCTGTTCTCCTTAAGAGATAAACAATTTCATAAATGATGACATTACTGGGATAACACATTTGTTCTCATAGCGTGCTACCTTTAGCATAAGCTACTTTATCTGTGCAAGAAGGCTCAGTTTTCTTTAAAGTAAAAAATTAATATTATAATAACGTGAAAAGAAAATCTGTATTTTGTTTAAAAGTACATTATATTTATTAAATTTTTTGTAGTTGACGTGTCTATAACAATTTCTACGTTAACACGAAAATGTTTACATTTTCTATACCAAAATTGTAAAAAATGTATTAAATATAAAAGATAAAGGCAACAATCATGTGGTATATCGCATGAAAGAGGAAAAAACAAGTAATTTTTTGTAGCCACAGTCTGCTTCGATGACAATTTTTTTTTTTGCCTGGGTAGTGGTTACAGCAAATTACATACGATACTTTAAAAATATGTTTACATTATGTGAAAGATATCAATTTTGCCATGAAGTTTTATTAAGTTTCCTATATCTCTTAAAATGAAAAAGTTAGACGACCCTAAACTTTCGGTACTTTTCCGGTTTTTTTTATGATTGCTCACAAAGCTGATGTGAAATTTGTTTTTACGAACATAAAAGACTCAAAAAATACAACAAATCATTTAAAGATTTTCGACTAGCGTCCTATATTAAGCGAGATCCATAGGAGTGGCCCTGTTATAGTAGACACCCTGTATATGCAACTTTTTTCGATATCTCAGTGTCGACCCCTATATTAATTTTTTATATCACAAATTTCGCTCTAAATATTTTCATTACATCATTTTTTCTGTAAGAACTCAGAAATATATTCAAGTAAAAAAAAATTAATTCAAGCAAAAAATCAAAGTAAGCCTAAGCCTTCCCAGAGAATCTGTTCTTAATAACATTTTGTTGTCTTATACAGAAATGTTAGCTTACTGCCGAAATAGGAATGAGATTTTTTTACGTTTCCAAGGCTTACGCATCTGAAACCGTAGCATATTTTGTTTCATAAACAAGCAGACCTAAATTCCAATAACCATTTTCAACACCATTTTTTGTCTCTTACAAAAGTCGCTTTATCTACGAATAAATTGAAAATATATATTTTGTATATGAATATATGTTTAAAAAAACAAAAATGTACCTCTTAAGTAGTATTTACACCATTAACAAACTTTTAAAGAATCCCTCATGGTTTTTATGAAAATGTAGGCTCTGTCAAATTGGCTGAAATTGTGATAAGTTGTTGGTTTTGTGTTACTGACCAAAATTGTCTAAAGTAGGTACTTAGGTCCTAAAATCAATTATTTCCTACTTATAGCGGTCTGAGTCAATTTTGCTGAGGATGGCTGCGAAATGGTATGCTTTGAATATTGCAATAAAAACAGTAACTTTTGTGAAATGTTTGTAGATCTCTGATTTAACATTAAACGAAGTCACATTTTTAAGTAAATAGAAGTTGATATTTACTTTTACAAAAGTATTTTTTAAATTTGTGTAAACATTGTTTTAAAATGTAGGTATTAGTTTTAACTAGAAATATTCCTTTATGATTCATATAACAAATACCTATAAAACCAATGAAGAAAATACACATATATGGAGAAAACCGCATTAAAAACATCACATATTTCGAAATTCGACATATGTTGTTTCCCACACATATTTTTCTATGTGTAAAATATCTGTGGAATCAACCTTTGGGGGGGTGCTTATACCTACGAACGCTGTTTCATCCCCCACCGCCCTAAATTGTGTTTACAGCCTGACGCCGGCTTCCGAATCGCCTGCCCACGTAGCTTGCTCTCCTGCGTGATAAGCAAGACGCTCCATAGTTTAGCGATAGTGTTTCTGATAAACTTAAGTGGATTTGTTGTTTGGGTTGTGGAAAATTGAATGGAACAATGAGTTACCCCTAGTTTTTATCTCGGATTGGAATTGATTTCTTGCTGGCTTGTTAATAAGATTTATGGGAGTATTTACCGCACTTTCGATAAAATTTAATGGTAACTAACAATAAATTTATAGAGATAGTGAACTATGTAATGCGGATATATCTATTTTTTTTACTAGAAACGCAACATTTTGTGAAAAATTGCGAGAGAGGGAAAAGTTTTGACGTGAGCAAAATTTTAAAATGTGATTTTTTGGTTTGCAAATTTTCAACTCCATAAAAATTTACAATAACATAACCATGAAGGATAGCAATATTCTACCCATTTCAAGGGTGGCAGATGATTTAAAAACATGGATGCAGAAAAGCTTTTGAAAAAATAAACTAATATAGAAAATGGCATTCTTCTATATTTCTCTGACTATAGGCCGACAATACATTTGTGGAAAAAATTTCATATAGAAGACTCCCCTTTCTTTTTGGCAAGGAGTTGCTTTTTACAGATTTTGGGATATCTAAAAAACGTCCTGTATATCAGAGGGTAAAATATCGTCACCTAAATTACTCATTTTATTATATTACTAAGAATATTCATTAAGTCAACAATCACGACTAGTATCATAATTATCGCTATAAGATCCTTATAACATCATTAACTATTATGAGAAAACTGATGATATATAAATTCTGGTAGCATTAGGTATATCTTGCAAAGTAATTTCACTACGGTCAATTTTCCAGTTGCTGAAACACCTCGTACAACGTGTGTAAATATTGCTGTAAGTAATTTTTTGTGTTTCCTTTACTTGATTGAACTAACAATGTGGGAAAGTCTTAAATATACATATAATATTTCACTTGCCCTGGCTATGTGATGCGCAATGGAAGGACCAAGCCAAATTACTTCGGAGCGTATTCTCTGTATGAACTAGTGCATCTGTTTAATTTGTTCCTGTCTTCGACATTGTTATAGTAGATCTAAAGAACAAAGTCCACTGCGAATTTGTTGTAATCAGATACTCATTTGTTTGTACTTGTTAAATATTTAGATTTCCAAAATAACAATTTGATTCAAATCTGCCCTAAATATGTTTTTTTCATAAAGAATATCCCGGAGCTTATGAACAGATAGACCAAGTATATTATGAAGCAGAAGGATTATGCTGAAAAATAAGGCACAAATAATTTAATAACAATATTTTTAAATTATACCTGCTATATATTAATTTTCCTTAATATTTTATTTGAAAAATATTTTAACTAAATTGAAAATAACATTTAAAACGTAAGTATTTTATTATCTTGTTATTGAAATTATTCTTGCATATTTTGTTGATGCAAATACTGACTTTTACATAGAAACCAAATTTAATTTTTATTTAATAATATCCTCATGTTTACGATCGAAGCGTAATCTTAAAAATACACAAAGAGTTTCGCTGATAATATAGTTTATCATCTACCTTCGGAGCACGCATATAAACAGCAATACATTG